TCCAAACTAGTTCGGATCCCGTGTGATGCACGGGTTAGGAATTTTTGAGGCTATTGGTAAGCTTTTTTTTTTCACATACACGCACACACACACACACACACATATATATATTACGTGAATAAAAAATAATTAATCATAATAGAATAATAAGAACATTGGCTTTATAGGTAAACCGTCGTCCTCACAAATTAATATTTTGAAGCCTTTTTAACTAGTGACAATATATATGATTTTATATATTAATAAAAATATCTCCCATGGCTTAGATCGTCAAAGAAGAAGAATCAACCCCTAAAGTGTGCAATCAATTTCGTTCCTTCTAAACAATTATTTAAATAAATGATACGATTTTTACACAAAAATATAATAAAGTTAAAAAAGAAGAAGCGTCGTTCAGTTCCCCAAAGTGTGCAATCAATTATGAAAGTAAACAAAATCATCTGTGTTAGACGCCATCAACCTCTTTCATTTGAACGAATTCAATTTCAACCACCAGACCAATTGCATCTACAAATAAATTGTAAACTTATTATAAATTTAAAATAGAATGATCAATTATACGAAAAAACATAATAAATAGATAAAAATATTACTGAATAGCACAATTTGATCTTGACGTACAACATAACTGAGAGAAACAAAACCTCGCATATAAAATCAAAAAAGGGAAAGTCGCCTTTGGACTTCACCAAATTGGTCATACCGTGGATCACAATTTTAAGTTGTGCAATGGCGATCGAAATGAGCCATAGTTACTCTCCACTTGGTGTTTTTGAGTTCCATAGACATGACCTTTGTTTTGTCTATCAATTTTTTCATATGTGTAGCCCGTATATTTCTAGTGATACGATCTTCCTATAATAAAAAATCAATACCACATAAGTACAAAGATATTTAATAAAAAATAAATATTGCTATATTTACTTGCACAAATTGAATAAAAAATAAATTGAATCGGATTACGATCATACTCGTTCACCCATTTCACATCTTGTATAGTATGTCATTTTTCTATTCGCGGTCTACATTTTGAATTAGATTAGTCGTTAGAATGAAGAAATAACCAATTACAAAGATATGTTTGCAAACAAAGATTCTATAGATACATAATATTGTACATAGAGGAGTACATAATACTCACATTGAGTATGACCGATTAAAAGTAAAAAAATTAAGTGAACCCCATTCCATGTGAGTATTATGTACACCTTTATGCACATTTATTATGTACTTGTAGCATTTTCATTAATTAAACGAATAATTTGTTATGATTTGGTAATGAAATTTGATTGAGATCCATTTGTTTTTTGTTGGGAGAGAGAGAGAGATAGTCCCGAATCATGATGTGAATAGTTCTTGGTTCGTGACAAAATCACTATCAATTCTACGTGTTAGCATGTGTTCTAATTATAAATTATCATTAAAAAGATTCGAATAAAAAATGCGTAGGTAGGCCGTGGGTGTGTTGACATTCAAACTTGAAAACTATAAGAATATTCAAACTTGAAAACTAAGAGAGACGTTATGTCGTCCAACATTACAAGCTCTTTTGAGTCTTTCCTCGTGGGCTCAAGTCTTTTAAAATTACATTCACGGCTAATTGGTTATAGAATATTCAAATATTATTTTACCATTTAAAATTTAATTCAACTCAACTCTATAAACTCAAAATAACTTATATCCGATCACGCCTCAATGATTCAAATACAATATGATTAAAATAATTTAATGCACATTCATGATATCAGCCTAACTTTATATCAACACTAGTATTCATCTTGTGCACATACACAAAAAACATTAAAAATTTATATATGATATGTATGCATACTATGTATAAAATTTTATATTAGATAATAGATGTATTCAGGGGCGTAGCCAGAAATTTTTTTAACCTGGGGCTGCATATTATTGTAGTTATTATTAGAACCTTCTAGACATGGTCATGAGCCGACTCAGCCTGTCGGTTCGGCCTGAACCGACACAAACTGGCCCGTTAACCATGGGTCTTGAACCGGTCCGTGGTTTTGACCAGTTCGGTTCATGTACAATACCTTATAGTTTATACATTTTGAACATCAGTTTCTGTTCCGGATTGGAACCGGAATTCGAGGTTCGGCCTTTTTTAAAAAAAATATTATTTTAGTTATTTTTTATTTTTTTAATGAACCGGCCGACCAATAATCGACAATTCAATGAACCGACCCGTACATATGTTCGCGCCGGTTCATGGTCCTCCAACTCTTGGCCCGGTATAGACGGTTTCGACCTGTAATCAGTTTTGGTTATGATTAGAAACAAAATATCATTTAACATATGTTTGTTTGAATTGAAAAAACTCAATCTAGAATCGGTTTTATATTTATACAAGACAAATTCAAATGGTTAATCGAATTTGTCGATCAAACAAATAGAGTCGAATATGTTTGCAATCAACTTTGTACGAGATTTCTCTTTGTCTAGTAAATGATGCCGAGTTAATTATTGGAGGCGAAATCAACAAAAAAATAAATAAATAAATAAAAATAGATAACGGACTGTGGACTAAGACGAACCCAATTAAATAGCCTGTTTGAGAAGTCTGTGTCAAACTTAATTATCCAACTCATTTGATATTTATCAAGTCAACCGATTAAAAATATAAAAGGCAAGAATGTGTTGGGTCACATTATAAACTCAATTGATAAAATCTAATAAGGTCATAGTTGTCATTTGACAATAAATGATTGTATTTTTTCCTCAGTACAATAATCATTTTTTCACCATTGTTGTCAGATAAAAAATTTTAACCTGAAGATATTCTTGAGGCATTCAGCCTAAAATTAAATGGGGCTACATAAAAAATTACATGGGGCTAATAATTTTATATATAATTTTTTTTAAAAAATAAAGTTAGCAAAAATAACGTTAGCAAAAAATTACATGGGGCTGGAGCCCACCCTAGCCTTAGGGTGGCTCGGCCCCTGGATGTATTACATTTAAAAATTCTGACTATATGCAAATGTGTAATGTAAATATAAATTATTTAACTTTCGTATGAATATTTATATTGATACCATAAATTTTAATGGACAATATAATTTAGTAATCAAGAGGGTCATACATTTAATTAGTTAGAAAAATATTACAGTTATTTTTATCATTGTTATAACAATTGTCTAAATGGTTTTAAGGTGTTTAATTATGACACTCATGTCAATTAACTGATATTAGATAAAAGTCGCTTAAAAATACCAAAAATATTGTAAAGAAAAAAAAATTGCAATACAATTTTTTTAGGGTAAATTGCACCAAACCCCCTGTATTATACTAAATCTGCGCGTTGTCCCCCTGTAATTTAAAAATTGCATCAAACCCCCTTGTAATATACTTTTGCATGCGCGAAACACCCTAAACCGTCTAAGATGACGGAAGTGAAGTGCACTCGCGTGCTATGCGGCTCCTTCTTCATTTTTTTGCCACATATATTCTTTTTACCACTATAATTATGCCCAGATGCGGCTCCTTCTTCATTATATGATTATATTATATATATATTAAATAATAATCATTACATATTATATAATATTATATATATATATTATATATATTATATAATATATAATAATTACATAATATATATTATATATAATATATATTACATATATTAAATATATACGTTATATAAATACATTATATATAAAATATATTATTTTATATATAATATATTATATAATAATATATTATATTATTATATAATATATTATATATCTATAATATATTATATTATAATGTATTATATAATACATATTAACCGTTATTTATATATATATACGTAATAATATATAATATATTATTATATATATATA